TTGTGAAAATTAGCCTTTGTTTTCTTGTTTTCCTCAGATTTGAACGAGTGTTCAAGTGAATCACCAGCGTGCGACATCAACGCAGCGTGCCTCAACACAGTGGGTTCATTTTCATGTGCCTGTAATGGAGGATACATTGGAGATGGCAAGATTTGCCGAGGTATACAAATACTGGACCACGGCAGCATGATGCAACATCGTTACTCCCTTGAGCATGAAACGTCAAACTTGTGCGCAGACAAACTTGTGTTACCTCCTCCATAAAACATTGTTCTGGGTCCTCGTCTTCTAGATACCCAGGTCTAAGGTGTTGTTTTTATCTTCTAAACGAAGGACAATTTCGAGCCACGAGTTGGGACTTCATTTTGCTTCTTCGCGGCTCAAATTTGCTTGAGTTAGGAAGGAAATATAACCTTTGGGACCAGGGTACTAGTAAACGAATTGCCAATTATCGACTCATGGTATTTGACTTCCGTCATGAAAACAGTGATCTAAGCTCCATTTCTTCCTTCTTGTCTCTCCTTCTTTCTTTTCTATCCACCTTTCCATTTCATTCAGCTACAAAACCATCATCTCAATGGAAATGTTTCCGAGTTAAAGCAGTTAACTGTTGACCGGTCCTTAGTTATTTTCTTAAATCTTCTCAATTTGGTGGAGCGTTAACCTTTTCAAATTAAAACTTTGAAAACTAATATTCAGGTTTATCGCCAAATTCGAAATACAATCTCGCCAAATAGGTAGGCTCCCAAACGATCGAACGAAGGCTTATGGAGTGGGGGTACCCTTTCGCCGTTCCACAGATTTTAGCCTCGTTCTGGCGTTTACCGTGATATTTACCGTCTTTAAGGACTGGAAATTAAGACGTTGATGATCAGCGAAAATTTGCAGCAACAGTTTAATTCAAAAGGCATTGCATGCATACCGGTCCTCTAAAATGTCTTTATCTCTCGAAAAATTTATAAGTCTTCCAAGTCAGGAACTGTTGCAAATACCGGGCAAAACCTCAATGAAAACAGGTCTTGAACGTGAATGATAGTAAGCTCTCTAAGCGCCAAATAAAAAACGGTGAATTTACCGGCAATACAATTATGACACCTTTGGGCTTCAAACTTATACTCATAGTTTTCTTTGCAATTACAGCACAAGTCGTCGAAAATAGAAGTTTATCTCGATGTTATCTTAGCCAAGAGCTTTAAAACTAAGTCAGTCAAATATTGCGCCAGCATTTGCATTGGTCAGTCTGTTCTTCCATTCGCAAACAAATCATGTGCCGTCTTTTGTTCCTGACATGACAATCTGTTTTCCACACCACTGTACATGGCCGTAACTTACTCTCTTATTTCCGTCAATTTCGCTTGCTTATTCTGTTTTTGTGAAGCTGTTACAACAACAGATTATGTTCCTCATGTATCCTTCCGTATATGTTTGACATCTGATTAATTGCGGTACGATAAAAACGAATACATCTGTGCAATGAAAGGAGATCAGTGATTAGCAGATAAGATTTAAGCTACTTTTGAGCTTAAAAGCAAACCACCTGGCAAAGCTACATGTAACCTTAACTTTCCCATAACAATTGTTTGAGGATAAGGCTCATTTTGGAATAAAACTGACACTGTCGACTGTAGATCCAATATCTGTTTGCCAATAATGAATTGAGCGGAAGATTGGATTTCCCTCTTGGCACGCAAAGTGTTTTTTGCTCAAGGGGTTACTTCTGTAACTAGTGGCTAGAGTCCAAATGGAATGAATCAAAAGAACTCTTCCTCTCTTTAAAACCACGTGACAGCTTCAAAACCAAACTATACAGTGTATAGCGATTGATTCATCTCCCGCTGACAAAATATACAACTTCTCTCTACTTCTTCGTATTAAAATTGAGAGTATGATTACCCATCAGGTTAACAATGGTAATTATTTCCTTCACCGTCCATGACCAATGTGTGCCTGAATTTAAACGGTATTTAATAGAAATTTGCCTTTAATGAGTTCCAATCAAAAGGGTTGAGACAAATAATCTCTCACAAACAGACAACGGCGTACCATGCGATAAGACAGAAAGTTATGACATGTTTAAGGACCTCTGCCCAGGAATAGTCAAAAACGTTT